CTAAAAAAATTACGTCTCTCATCTCCTCATTAACAATATTATATACATCAATGTAGGAGATATATAGATCTCTTTTTTGCATTAAGGGTAAGGATTCTAGGTCTTCCGTGTTATGAATCTGATTTACACGCTAATGGAACAATAATACAATTTGGGAGGACTTCATCCCATCTTTTGCCCTTCCACGAATCCATTCCCTTGTTTGTTGAGATATATTGAAATAGCGTAAATCCTCTGGAGCACCAGGATTATGCCCGCTATGTAATGTATAGTGAATTATATGAACACTAGTATCTTCTTCACTATAACATTTTAATACTCGGATATAAGATTTGCAGCCTGTTTTTTTTTATGGTTTTTGAACCGGGCGGGGTGGCTGCGATCAGATGAAGGTTTAGTAGCTCGTTTCATCGTACCAGCCGTTGATCTTGGCTTTCTATAGCAGTGACAAGCATATCTTTCGTTTAACTTATATTCTAAATTCACACGATTATCTTTATAGATATAATTGGCACCTGCGATATTTGGAAGGATATTCTTGATCCAGTCTTTATATGTTTCCAGCTCAAGATGAGTATAAATTTTAACATATTCATTCATATCCGTTTCTTGTAGTTCGGACTCAGTTTCAGGTTCTTCTGGCGCTTCTATTTCAGGTCCAAATTCTTCTGATGATTCTGGATCTGATTCTTCATGAGCACCAGGCATACATTCAGATTCTTGCAATTCAGGTTCTTGCGACCCAGATCCAGGGTTCGTTTGCAATTCAAATCCAGAGTTATTATTATTGGACGAAGACATTCTGGATTTGGCGCGCTCAACAATATTGTCTATTAAACCAGTTAAATCCAAATTTGTGAGTGCGCTTTGATTGTCTGTGTTCAGTTTTCGTGATTGAGACTTATTAACTTTAGACATTTTTTTTTGCTTTTACGATGGAATTTTATAGTTTCAAATTTATGAAAATAATATGATTAGTCTTTAACAATTTATTAAAATGTTGGCAAGATACTTATACAAGCGACAATGCAAGTGTCTTTATATACATTTTTTAATTATACATATTGAATACGAGATTCTAATTTTATTTTTTTTATTTTATAGCACATAGAAATTAAAGCAATTACAATGATAAGTTTCTCAATTTCGATAGTTTCATATTTTTTTTTGTTCCTGATTTGATACAGTTTGATATTTAACTACTCCTTTCTTTCCTTTTAATTAGATAAAACGCGACATTCTTTAAAAAATTCCCTTTCAATAGGTTTTGTTATGTTACATATAATCAGGAGATATTATTTATGATACGCTAATTCTTACTAACAGGGGTTATGTTGTAAACACTAAATATATTTTTCTTACAATGCATAATTTTGGCAATTACCACGGTAAAAATTTTTTGAGATTTATCCTAATTCAACTTAGTTTACTATTTCATTGTCTTTTATTTTTTTCAATCAGATAAAACACGTAATGTTCTTTGACATTTCTTTTTGCGGGGTTTTGTTATGTTGAGTTTTTTTGCTAATATTTCCTTCTGTGGCTAGGATATTTTTCGACTTTGTAATAAGTTGCAAGATCTGTACAATTATTAATGATTAACAGCATTTGTTAGAGTCACTAAATAGTTATTTGTCAAATAAAATTATATCGCATTTATATTTGTACATAATCAATCGATGCTTATTTATATGCACACAATAATATTATTTACCACAATTCAGGGTTCTGCTCGAATTTGTCACATAATGTTTCTGCAACCTGTAGAATTAAGATCAAATCTGCATTGTTTTGTACTAATTAAGTAGTTTGAGTGATGATACATTTATTCTATGCCTTAATAGTTAAGAATTATCGAGCGGAACGTTGAGTCCGATTGCTAATTATCTTTTCACGATCATGATTCTTTACTATCGTGACGACGTACTTGAAAATTTTATAATTTGGAAATTGCACAACCATATC